CTAGGACTCAGCGGTTGAATTTTTAAGTGTGTTACTGATTCATCCTCTCTCTCTTCCTCTGTCATCACAGGTTTAAACTTACACGAATCGCTTTCTGGAGGAGGAGGGGACCCGCCGCGCGATTGACACGCATATTCCTATAGGCATCCTCCCTCAGCCCCCACCCCCACGGCCGGATTCGGGTGGCTCCTCTCCGAGCTGAAATCCGAGAAGAAATCCTTGGATCTCTTTTCTTAAAAAAAAAAAAAAAAAAAAAAATCTAGAAACCATCGGTATTTTGCTTTGCTGCTCCCTATTCGCAAGATGAAGAAGTTTTTCGACTCCCGGCGAGAGCAGGGCGGCTCTGGCCTGGGCTCCGGCTCCAGCGGAGGAGGGGGCAGCACCTCGGGCCTGGGCAGTGGCTACATCGGAAGAGTCTTTGGCATCGGGCGACAGCAGGTCACAGTGGACGAGGTGTTGGCGGAAGGTACGGTGTGGCTCAATGCGCCGTAAATTAAAATCTTGTGCTGATGCGGCAGTACTGTGGTTTCTAGTTGTTGCATGTATGAATGGGCTTTGACCAGTTGACCCTCCCTTCCCCCTTCACTTGCCCTGTGAGTCATTGTCCTTGAGAGATTTAAAATTGAGATTTGAAAGTGACTGGGCTTATGGGGGTGTGGGGAGGTTGCCGAAATTGTTTACGTTAGTGGCCTTTTATTTTTATTTTTTTAATATTGAGAAGCCAAATTTTGAGGATCACACAAGAAAATGTGTGTGTGAAAGTGTAAAGCTTTATGCCAAAGGCAGGGTGATGGGCTTGTCATCCTCCTAAAACTTAAAATCTTGATGTGAAGGCTGAAGGGTGGGGATGGGGGGACTTTTAAGAAGAGAGGGGTTTCTCCGTCTCCTACCCAACTTTCCTACTTCCATGAGCAGGCATTGGAAGGAAGGGAGGATTTTCGGAGAATGTGAACGTGTTTTTCCAAGGGCCAAGGCTCTTGGTGGATTTCACTAGTAGTTTTGTTTCCTGACCCAACTGTAATCGGGTCCCCAGGATATAGCAAAGATAACAAAAATTATATAAAACAAATGTGGTTATTCTGAACTCAGTCTAGTAGGCCCCTCTTCCTCTCGCTTTAGTTTTTTTTTTTTTTTTTAAAACCAAAAGAAAAATTACTTGAGAGTGGCTCTGATTTTGTTTTTTCACTGTCAGAGAGGATGTTATTTAGATCTGCTGTGTAAATTCCTCTGTGTTTCATCTGTGTATCTATACTCACGTAGATATACATCTTTTTTCCTCCAGGCTTTCGGGAAATCTTTGCATGTCTCTTTTGGTAACCTTAACCTCGACCTTCATAATTATGCCAGACTCATACTTTTCACAGCCCATCGCCTGCCTAGTGTGCTTTTATTTTTAATAAAAGCAGCAATTTCCTTGGCATGAAGCAATTCAGACTAATTGGATGGGGCCGACCTGCTGTAGGTTGTGTTATAGACCGAGAGGGGTTGGAGGAAGGGAGAGGTCTCTATTACTGCAACATGGTGGTGGAAGGGAACAGTTTTATTACCGAGGGAAGAGAGAAAGCTAAGAGGCCTCTTTACAAAGGGGCGTTTTGCAAACTAAAGTTGAAGCAAGGGTCCTGACCTGGGCCTGGGAAATGCTTACCATGGTGGGTGTTGCAGGCTGGTGGGTGGGTTTGGAAGAGGAGGAAACTGTGTTTGGCTCTCAGCTTGTGTAAGCACTGGATTCAGCAGGGCCCAGTTTTCTGGGAATAGAGTTGAAGCCTGTACTTTAAAAACACGATTTTTTAAAAAGATGTCTGACAGTTATGTCCGTGTGAAATTATTGCTCTTCTAATCTCAGTACTGCTCTAGCTGGGCTTTATCTGGGGCCTGAGTCACTGTCCCTTTGGATCTTTCCTGTGGACTTTGGTGCAGGTTGGGAGATGCTTCTGTGCCCGCTGCCAGATCCGCACCCTTGAGTCTGATCTGTCTCTTTCATCCCTGTGCCAAAGCCCTTAACTGCAGTGGGGTGGAGAAATGGTGAAAAGGAGAGTGTGTCAGAGAGAAATCAGGAGAAATGAAGGGCCACAGAGCACTTTCCTCCCCTCTGAATGGCCTCTGCTGACCTTATAGCCCACGAGCATTTTGTTCAGCTAGGATGTTGTCTCATCAAGGATGATGCTGCCCTAAGCGGTGCATGTTCTCCAAGTGTGAGAAGAGTGATAGGGAAGAGAAAAGGCAAAATTGGTCTTTGTCACCTAGGCTGCCTTCCTCTTCTCTGGGATTCATCCTTGAGAACTGCGCATCATGTATCGTGATATTTTTACATGGAATTTAGGACTTGCAGCTCTGCATTTATTCATTCAGCAGTTTATGGAGTTGCCTGTGAAGTGCTAGGTGCTGTGCTAGGTTCTGGGATATGCTGTTAAACCAGAGCTGGCCTTTACCAACTGCTTTAAGAGATGGAAAATAGCCAGTTATAGTGGATTGATAAATGCCATCATAGAGATAAACTTAGGGTGCAGTGGCCCCCAGTTTTAGGGAGCCCAGGATCATTTTCTGAAGGAAGTGACTGAAGAGTGAGTAGCAGTTAGTGTGGTGGCACTGTGGGCAAAGACGGAGTAGCAAGAGAGAATGTCACGTAAAACTGGGTCTGGCTATGCTGCCCTTTTTGTGTTCTTTGGCTTAAGTTGAGTTTGAATTTGTGGTTCTTAGAAGTATGTAGAAATGTAGGAGCCAGTATACAAAGTATTTATGTAGCACCTACCAGGTCCAAAGACTGTATGAAGTTCTGAGATGAATAAGGGAGGTCTAAAGTGTGATTGAATCTGCCTTTAAGGTTCTGCCAATGAATTTGGGAAGATGAGGCATACATTCACACATACAGTAGCATGGTTACCGGCACTGTCTATAGAGTCAGACAGATCTAGGTTCAAATTCTGGATCTGTTCTTTACTAGCTGTGGAACTGTAGGCAAGACATTCCAAACCACTCTTGAATCTCTGTTTCCCTGTGGCAGTGGTTCTCAAAATGGGGCATCCTTATCACCTGCAAGCTTGTTGGAAATGGAGATTCTCAGGCCTCACTACATAGGCTGTGAGTGTGGGGCTTAATAAGTTCCTGGAGAGATTCTGATGCAAGGTCAAGTTTGAGAACCACTGCCTAATGGGCTGGTCATGAAGATTAAATGAGGCAATATATATAATTCACGTTTTCAGGTGTTCAATAAATGGTAGCCATTACCTACCAGCAGCATTATACATCATATGTATATATGTGGAGAGAGAGAGAGAGTGTGTGTGTGTATGTGTGTGTGTGTGTTAAAGGGGAGTGGGAGCAATGTGAAAGCTAGTTGAGCTGCAGCAATCTGAAGCAGTTCCTTTCCCCCATTGTTAGGGGATAGAGCCAGATGTTCTTTGCAGAGTCCTCACCAGCTCCTTAAAGGCTTAACAGATGTTTTTGGGTAGCCACGCTCCTTCCCTGCGCTCTCTTCCCTGTGAGTCCCCAAGTGCTGACCTGTCTACAGTCCCAGCCAGAGTGGTTTAAGGACCATGGGAGTTGTACCCTGGGTGCCCAGAGCAGTGGCCAGGCAGTTTAGGGAGGAGTGGTGTGAGAGGCTTCAAAACACAGACCAGATTACCACCACATTCCACTGATGATCTCTTTTTCTCTAGTGCGGGTATTGGCGTGTGCTTTTTCGTAAGGAATTGCAAGAACCCCAAGGAGCAGGTGCTGGGCAAGACAAAAAGATGCCGCACTGCCATATCTCCCCTGGTATATCAGCCTTCCTGGCCTGGTTTCACTAACTAGTCCAGCAGGGGCTGTTTGGGGGAAGTGAAGGCTTTAAGTTATGAGTTTAGAGGAATATGGCTATTTCTAGGCTGGGTGCCAGGGAGAATATTTTCTTTCTAGCTTTCTCAGCGAAGATGCCATGATGAGATGCTAAATCATGTCTAAGTTAATAGGCATATGATGTCAAGGGAAGATTTGGTTTAAGCTTCCAGAATGAGCTCAATGGGAAAATTGGAGCAATGTTCAAGGAAGGCTTGAGAAGCTGTGCTTTTATCATACTTCCTTAGCTATACGAGGACTTATATCTAAGCTTTAAACAATAAATGTTTATTTATTTATTACTGTATTCAAGACAACATTCTGGAGCTATAAGGTGGACTAGATGGCTCCTCAGAGCAGTTTTCTAATTTATATTCAAGGAATCCAGGTCCAAGGCTGATGAGAAGTACGAAATGTCCACATCAATAAACTTTGATAATTTCTCCTACCTACATAGCGAACTAGTAAGGCTTCAAAATGTGTGTGAAACCACCAAAAATTCCATTAAAGGCACCTAATTCTAATGTGTTGGTGGTATCAATATGAAACACATATGTGCCTCTTTGTGGCAGGCACTGTATTAGGTTCCAGAGATCCTGAGATGGATGGGACACAGGCCTGACTCTTAACAGAGCTCAACACCTGAGATAAGTGTCCAGCACTTAAGCGTGGCCTTTGACATACATACCTTAGGTGGCAAAGGATGTTATGATAAAGAGCCTGGGGGTGAGAGTTCGCAGGTGACATGAAGTTTGAACAGGAATAGAAACCAGCAGGGCCGGGCGCGGTGGCTCAAGCCTGTAATCCCAGCACTTTGGGAGGCTGAGACGGGTGGATCACGAGGTCAGGAGATTGAGACCATCCTGGCGAACACGGTGAAACCCCGTCTCTACTAAAAAAAAATACAAAAAAATTAGCCGGGCGAGGTGGCAGGTGCCTGTAGTCCCAGCTACTCGGGAGGCTGAGGCAGGAGAATGGCGTGAACCCGGGAGGCAGAGCTTGCAGTGAGCCGAGATCGCGCCACTGCACTCCAGCCTGGGCGACAGAGCGAGACTCCGTCTCAAAAAAAAAAAAAAAAAAGAAATTGCCCAGCAGATGTTCCAGATGGGGGTTACCCAGGCCCTCTCAGGCTGAGAGAATCACATAGGCAAAGTGGTGAAACAGCATGATACATTTTGAGAATACTGACTAGTTTACTGTTACCATTTTCATCAGTACACATTTCCTCCCCAGAATCAAGGAAAGAAGGACAGAGGACACGGAGTGGTAGAATGAAATTCTTTAAGTTGCTCCCTGGAGGTGCTTGCTGCTTACTTTCTTCAGTGGCCCTGGACCTTTTGAATGACTGATGAATAGATACCAAGAATGCACGGCTCCCCTCCTGTGCCTCAGCCCTGTGCCAATTGTGGGGAAAGGGAGCAGCGAGTGTCTGGGGAAAGAGTGGTCCCAGAAGGTTTGATAAGAGGCTAGAAGCTTGAGCAGAAGCAGGCAGGGAAGGGAATTGACCAGTGTTACTGAAAGGTATGAACAGGGGAGATAATGAGGATGTTTGACCAGAGCAGAAGGTACATTGGAGAGAAAAAGAAGGACGAATTTTGTGGAGAACCTTGAGTGCCAGGCAGAGAGATTTAGTTATAAGCACCTGACACCTCT